GGGGCGTTTGGCACGCTTAATTAAAACGGGGCTCACGTAGACCCGAATCCAACCAAAATGCTGTCACTGTCAGTTTTTGGTCGAGAGCCGTTGCCGTTGCCGCCGCCGCCGCCGCTGCCGCCGCTTGGCTTCCACTTTGAGCCAAAGCTAATTTGGCCACTTTTATTTGGCAGAAGTCGAAAAAGAGGCAAAGCGAAAAAGGGAGGAAGGAAAAAGTGAGCCAAAATTGAGGAAAATGTTGCAAGTGTCAAAGTGCATGGGAAATGCATTGCGGCACATTAATTGCATAAATTTCGACGTTGCTTTGAACTGAATGCGGCGCAAATTAAAGAGCAAGCGAGACGGCGCACGGGCCGCGCGAGAGGCAGAAGTCATTAAATGTAGCTGCAGCACCTTTATAGTTGGTGCTGCCAGGCAGACTGCGGGTGGCAGTGGCAGTGGGCGTGGGCGTGGTCATGGACGTGGCGGGGTCGGGTGAGCCTTCTGTCATAATTTGATGCCTAACTGTGTCAGACGCTGGTCGGCTGCAGTTGCAAGTGCTCATGCATAACGCATTTTGGCTGCGCTGAAAAGTATGCTATGAAAATGCAACTCAGACCTGTTGCCCCACACCCACACACACACACATACACTCATGGAGAGGCACACGCACACAGTTCACTGGTTTTTGGGGCAGCGCTTTAAATCAGTTGCCATTTCATTAAAATGCACACAGGCAGCGGGCCTCTGCCTCTGTCTCTGTCTCTGCTCTCCTTCTCACTCTCTCTCAGACTCTCTCTCTTTCTTTGTCTCTTATCCACCCACTCTGGCAGCGCTTTTTACCTTCAGTTTTAACGCTCGTTTGTTTTTTTCTTCTTGTTTCAGCTTAAATTTACCGTTATGAAACAGCTTAATGCGCATCAGTTGCAAAAGCCTTGATGCAACTTTTTTATGGCTCGACGCAGCCTAACTTGATTTAAGTAAATGCCACAGTTTAATTAGTCTGGCAACGTCAAAAAACTATGTGCTGTTAAATAAGAGCAACAAATAGAAAAAAAATGCAAAGTGTAATCAATCAAAGTGAATTAATAGATAAAATATGTAGATATGGATTTTTTATTTTCAAAAAATTCATTTTGCTGAAAGGCTTTTTAACGTTTCAATTAAAGGAAATCATTTTTAATTTCAATTAACATATTTTGCGTAAATATTGAATTATTAAATAGGCCGACTATAAAATTTGTGTGTGTGTGTGTGTTTTATGAAATAAGCCAATTTGTTTGCTATTAAATAAACGCATTTAAATTAAACAATCAGAAGACAAAATGAAAAGAGCTTTCTTTATCTTTATCAATATTGTAACTAAATGGAAAATCCAAATCCAAAATAAATGGAGGCGAATATCCCCGCCTTCATATCGAAAAGCTGTCAAATTTACAGCACACTCAAATGGCAGACGCGTCGCAATCGAATGTTCCGAAATGGCCAACCACAAAGCACCAATAGCAGGGCCTCTCGCTCGCGCACACACACGATAAGCATTCAGAGTGTTGTTGTTGTTGCTGCTGCTACTGTAAAGCTTTTGGCTGCCTCGCATAAATAACTGTAAAACGTAACGGAGCCAAAGTCGAAGTCTATGAAAACAACAAGAAGTAATGTGACGTCACACAAAATAACAGTTGCAGCCATGCTTACTGTTCTTGTTGTTGTTGTTGCTATTGCTGTGGTTGCATTTATTTTGAGTGGATTTATTTATTTGCCTTGCCACGAACAACAATAGCAACAGCAACAGCAAAAATTGGATAAAGCGCAATAAAACAACGCAAATCAACTAAAAAATGCGCTGCAATAAAAAAAGCAAGAAGAGAACACAAAAAAAAAAAAAGAGAAATACCCAGCAGCACCCGCACAAGTTTTTATTTTATGCAAATGTAAGGTGTCCCAGGTGGGGAATGCACACGTATGCTACGATTCTGCGTTGCTGCTGATGCCGCTGCCCCTGCCACGGCTGCTGCCTCTGTTGTTGCATTTGGCTGCTTTTTGCTCAACATTCAATAAAAGCAACAACAATAACGGTACAGGTGTGTGATGCGCGCAAGGGAATGGGAAGGGAAAGGAAGGGCGGGGGCAGCGGCCCTTGGGTTGCTCTGTTGTTGTTTGTCTGCACGTCTGTGTCTCTGTTTGGCAAATGCCAACTTTATTAGGAATTTTGCAGCTGTTTGCGAGCGTGTGTATGAGTGTGTATGTTGGTGTAGGTGAATGCAAGTCAAATAGATGAAAGCGGAAATCAAAGCCAGAGCCAAAGCTCATTGGCGCTGCTTGCATGCATATATCGTGTGTACGTGTGTGTGTGTGTTTTTAACTCAACTTATCCGTACAGCACATTTGCGTGTAATATGCACGAATGAATTTTTGTTTTTTTTTTTTTCGATTTCAGTTTTACTCAATGAAACGCAATGCCGCGTGCAACTGTGTACGTGAGTGTGTGTACAGGTGTGGGAGAGACGAATAAAGGGAGAGAGTAAGCGAGAGCGAGTGCACAGTGCGCCTGTGCAATGGCTGTGCAGAGCGTAATTGCTGAGCGCAATTTCCCTATATATTGGCTGCTACAGCAGCTCACAGTGGTGGCACACATTAGTGTTACAAGCTGCAATGTAGGTTTAATGATCACATGGAAACCTGTTAGTTTTTATTATTATTAAGGAATCGTATTGTTCAATTTGAATGTGTTGGATTCTTGAATATGCATGTATATCCTACTAGATGCTGTTTTCTATTCGACTGCTTCAATATTAGCGATTTCAAGGTCTAAATCATCCCACATATTACCCAAATTAATCACAATTTGGGCTTTTCTTTTGGTTTGGCAATGTTTTTACTTGGCCATTAAGCAAACAAAGCACAAAATGAACATTAGAAACATTAGCACATCATAAGCATAAATTTAACTGTGGCTCATAAAACAGTAAAGCTTCCAACTAATGGACGGCATTTAAGGCGCAATAAAGCCTCCCAGAGGGGCAACTGCCACACCCCCACTCCCCCTTCGACCGTTAGCTACTCTCGCATGGGCACTACCAACCTGTCTAAGACAAAAAGCAAATTGTCCTTTATAATTGACCACAAGTGGGCGCTGTGGTCGTCGGGGGCGTGGCCACGACAGCCCGGACAATACGAATTGTAAATGGACAATTATTATTAACTGCAATAAATTTCACGCACGCACAATTTACATAGAGAAGCACGCGAGCGTGCAGAGGATTACAGTGTATGGTGTAAGCGAGAGAGAGAGAGAGAGAGAGAGAGGGGGTTGGTGAGTGCGGGGGTGGGGGTAATGAAGCAAATGGGTGGCTGTTCGGTTGTTGTATTCATATGGGAGTTGACGACACAATCTACATCACGTGCAAATCGTTTAAGTGCAACACATAATTGTTCGAGGACCCCAAAACAGCCATTTTCGGATAGTATAATTGTGTTGAGCGTAGGTGTGCACGCGCGAGTGTGTGTGTGTGTGAGTGTTTGGTATTTAAGTGTGTGTTGGTGTGTGTCAATAGCAATTATGTGTGCAGCGTTTATAGAGATTGGGTGGAAAGTACACTGAACATAACTAGAGTTGACTATAGTTGAAAAAACAAAAAAGTTATATTCTTGATAATAATTAACTAATTAAATTGTATTATGAAATAAATTATATAAGTGTAGACAATTGT